CTTTCCCTGTCACCCACAGCCAACCACAGCAAATATCTTAACTTACCAAGATAGCTTCAAACTCTCTGAGCCCAGGGGGCCAAACAAGCTTTTTTAAATGTGTGTAGATGGAAGGGAGCAGGTTAGGTGGGGACAGCGCGGCACCTCCGCTCTGTCTGAACGCACAGCAACTCATCAGCTCCAGCTGATGGCTGCCTGTGGGAAAACTGGTCCAATGAAGAGGGAGCTCCTGATTTTACAGAGGAGCAGGAAAACTTTGATTTTTGTATTGTGAAATCTTTCAATTATAAAATGTTGGCTCGGCCCGTTAATCACAGATTTGAGACCTCTGGTGTATAGCCTTCCTGTCTTTTATTTTTCCCCATAAGCATGTGTGTGTGTGTGTGTGTGTGTGTGTGTGTGTGTGCGCGCGCGCACGTGTGTGCGTGCGTGCACATGTGTATAGTGAGCTCCTTTGGGACTGTGTGTCCAGTTCCTAATGCCCCTTAACCACTGTCCACAAGGGTGTATGATCCAGAAGCCATGTTTCACAGGATCCCATTCTCTAGGACATAGTTGGACCAACCAGAGAGGTCTCTCCTTGGGAATTTGGAATAAGGAACAAGACCGAGAGATACAGGATCTCCCTGTGGCTGGGTCTGCAGCATGAAGAGACAGGAACAGGGTGCAGGGTCCACGTCCCCCTGTGTGCACTAGGGGGTTCGGCTTGGGTGGTGTCAGCTTTCCGTTCATCGGTTCTAGCCCCTCACTGAGGCCTGGCTGGTCCCTGAGACATTCCTGTCTCCTTAGAACAAATCCCCCCCTCTGGCCTGAGTTAGCATTAGTGGGCCTCTGGTCCTTGCAACCAGAGTCCCAAGTTAGACGAGATAAAAATACACGGCAACACATAGATGAGTATTTTTTATAAATGAAATGATAGGCTTCCAAATGACCTTTCAGTGCCATCCACTTTCACCTCCACCCTCACGCCAGCGGGAACATCCCTGTTTATTTGCAGGGGAGGAAGGGCAGTACCTGTGTCTCTTATGTTTCTTGGAACTTTTCTTCTTCTTTTTCTTGACAGGCGATGGGCTATATGATGGGGACCTGCCGGGGAGGGGAGACACACTTCAGAGGGAGGCTTTGAGGGCCAGGGTTGGTTTCATAGAGACCCTTCTCCAGCCCCCAGACATGCCTCAGCTCTTTCAGTAACACACATCAAGGATGATAATTTGTAGAGTTAGTTTGCATTTGCTTCAAATGTTACCATGTATTTTACTACAGGTATTATCTCATTTAATCCTTCCACACACTTCTTAGGTAGGTACAATTGCTACCCTCCCTTTTCAGACAAAGAAAGTGGGGTTCGAAGAGGTAAAGTGACTTTTGCCCAAAGACACACAGCTAAGAAGGTGGCTGAGCTGAGATTCAAATCAAAGACTCACTGATCCCAGGGGCTTTGCTCTCAATCACTATAGCACCCATAGCTGCCCGCCTGGTCAGGCCATAAGTATTTATTTTTGTCTGCTGCCCTCTTCTAAAACTGCACATACTTTAAAGGTCTCTCCTCTGCTCCACCCTGTGTCTCCCTGGTAAGACCAAACCCCTGCAGGAGATCTCGCCAGGATGCACTCCGCACGGTGGTGCCATGAAGGGGTAACCCGAGAAACAGAGACGCCCTAGAATCATTATTATGACTCAAGGCTGACGTTCGGGTAACCCGAGTTCCAATTCTGACTCTACCATAAATTTATAAGTCACCTCAGGCATGTCACTGCTCACTCCAAGTCTCCTGTTCTCCCACTGATAAAATACCAAGGTTGAAGCATATCAGGAGCTGCAAGCTCAATGCCAACACAGGCCGGCCTCTCAGATAGCTTAAATGGATGCAGCAGGTCGCAGGGGGGCGGTGGGGGGCGGGGAGCAGGGGAGACAGTAGGGAGTGGTGAGGCCTGTGGTGAACCAGAGAGCACCTGACCCAGGGGTATGGATGCTTCTCAGATCAGCTGAAGGTCCAAGGTAGGAATGCAGGCCTGGGCTTCTAGAGCTCCTGCCTTTTGAATAGAAGTTGCCAGAAAAACATATTTTCGTATGACATCTCCTGGTTTTAAAATATGGCCACCAACTAAAAAGACAAAAAACACTTCGCAGGTCAAATAAAACATGTCTGCAGGGGGATATGAAGGGTTGAGAAACAATCGGACTTAGGGAATCATAGCACTTGTCCCCAGAGAGTGCTCACTGGACATACTGAATGAATGAATGAATGAATGAATGATGGGAGTCTGATCCCTCTGGTTTCCTTCTTTTTTTTTTTTTATTTATTTTTTTAAATTAATTAATTAATTAATTTATGGCTGTGTCGGGTCTTCGTTTCTGTGCGAGGGCTTTTCTCTAGTTGTGGCAAGTGGGGGCCACTCTTCATCGCGGTGCGCGGGCCTCTCACTATCGCGGCCTCTCTTGTTGCGGAGCACAGGCTCCGGACGCGCAGGCTCTGCAACTGTGGCTCACGGGCCTACTTGCTCCGCGGCATGTGGGATCCTCCCAGACCAGGGCTCGAACCCGTGTCCCCTGCATTGGCAGGCAGATTCTCAACCACTGCGCCACCGGGGAAGCCCTGGTTTCCTTCTTTGACGTGTTCTCCTGTCCATACCTAAAATCAGGAAGCTCAGGCCACTTACCCCAATTCCACCCCTCGCCCTAGAATGGCTGGAACTCAGGGTCTTCATTCACAGTCCCCTCTGGGTCCTCTTTGGGCCTAGCCCCTTAGAACTAGGTGAAAGGGGTGTGGAGGGAACAGGGCCCCAGAAAACCTCGAGTTAGGTAGGGCCTGAGTCATCCAGACTCTGCTCTCTGCTGCCCCCTGCAGGCTCCTTCAAACACTGCCTCCAAGGTTTGCTGGGATTTTTAACTCGCCCCTCTAAGGAACATCTCTTTGACCACCCCTTGGGGTGTGGAACACTGAACCTGCTTTTAGTCTAGGGATTGACAGCCTAGAAGAAACTCTGACAATATTTTTAAATACAAAAAAATTAAAAGGTACTGTACACAGAAAAACCTCACAGGGTACAAAAGAGTCAACAGCTGGCCAAAAATATAAAGTCCATTATCCTTGGCATTTGCGTGTGGTGGAAGCACCTGAGGAGCCTGGAATCAAGTGTCTGTAGGTTCTGTCACCTCCTCTCTGAGACTTTATTTTCTCATCTCTAAAATGGGGATAACAGCTATAAGAGAAATGAGTCATGGTGACTAGAGTTGACAATACTGTACTGCTAAGAGAATAGATCTTAAAAGATCTCATCACAAGAAAAACCATTGTAACTATATGAGGTGATGGACAGGTTAGCCACACTTACTGTGGTAATCATTTAGCAACATAAACATATGTCAAACCATGACGCTGTAACCTTGGACTAATACAATGTTATAGGTCAATTATATCTCAATAAAACTGGGAACATTTTTTTTTAATAAAAATAAAATGGGGGGGCTTCCCTGGTGGCGCAGTGGTTGAGAGTCCGCCTGCCGATGCAGGGGACACGGGTTCGTGTCCCGGTCCGGGAAGACCCCACGTGCCGCGGAGCAGCTGGGCCCGTGAGCCATGGCTGCTGAGCCTGCGCGTCCGGAGCCTGTGCTCCGCAACAGGAGAGGCCATAGCAGTGAGAGGCCCACGTACCGCAAGAAATAAAATAAAATAAAATAAAAAAATAATAAATAAATAAATAAATAAATAAATAAAATGGGGATAATAATGCCTGCCTGCTAGATCGTGGTCAAGCGTAAAAGAGATCATGGAGATCACAGTGCTTGGTACAGCCGCTCACACACGTGAGGTCTCCAAAAATAAGTAAGTAAATATTCATGGTCATAACTATGCTTCAGACTAGTCATTTACTATGTGCCAGACACTGAGACAGCTGCTTCCACATCCACTTTCTCACCTAATTCTCATAAAACCCCAAGAGGCAGTTATTTCCACCATTTTACAGAAGTGGAAACACGCTCAGAGAGGTAAAGTGACTTGCCCAAGGTCACACAGCTAGTTAAGAGGCATAGAGGGGATCTGAATCCCAGGGGAGTCACTGTCTGACTCCAAAGCCCTTATTACCCCTCTTTTGTCCATTCCCCCATCTTCAGTGTTCCATGTCCCTTGGGGCCCTCACCTCCTTCTCTTCTTCCGGGTAGCTTTCTTCTTTTTCTTCTTCCCCCTGGAGGAAGGGGGTGGCGTCAAGTCTTTGCCTTGGGAGGCACTGAGGGGAAAACAGAACTGGGTATTAGAGGACACAGGGTTCCCCAAACCCCCAATCAGGGTTGTTGCAGCTGGGAAAGGATCCAGTTCCTTGGAGGGTGAAGGACCCATAGTGAATAGTTAATTACCACCTCATGGCTGATTTGGTTACACTTCAGATTAAATGCCTCAAATAAGGAGTTAATGCTGACCTAATGAGACAGATGCTGTACGTTACCCAAACATCAATTGATTAGTTAAATCAGAGTTACAGAGGTTAACTGCTCCTTAATAGATTTATTATTGAATTTGCAAATGGCTCACCTTGGTAAATAAATCAGTTTTTAAATAATTAATCGGCAATTCAGCACCCTCTCTCCCCAATACAACGTGCCTGTAGTTCCTGCTGGAAATTAAATAGGAGGCAGAAGGTAGGTTAAGTAGCAGCTGATTATTAAAAGTATATTTGCCAAGGTCTAATGTAACAAGATCCATTTCTTACATTGCTTCACGGAACCTCAAAAATCTCCACTCTTCAGGAATAATTATTTGCTGTTCAATTAAATTCAAAGGCTCAGGCTGCAGTTAAATGAAGTCAGGTTATCTCCTTTTAGAACTGGGGCAGGCTCCAGGGATTTTTTTTAAAGCATTATCCCATGGCAAAAAGATATGGTTTTGGATGAAAAACTGCTTGGGAATTGAAACATGCCAACTCAGCTGAACCTCTTTGGGAAAACAGATTATTAATAAAATGTTACTGGCATTATTAGTAACAACACAGCTACCGTTTATTCACTTATTATGCAACAAATGTTTTATATACTTTGATGCTCACAAAAGCACTTTAAGGGTGTTATGATTTTTTTTAACATCTTTATTGCAGTATAATTGTTTTACAATGGTGTGTTAGTTTCTGCTCTACAACAAACTGAATCAGCTATACGTATACATATATCCCCGTATCTCCTCCCTCTTGCGTCTCTCTCCCACCCTCCCTATCCCACTCCTATAGGTGGTCACAAAGCACCAAGCTGATCTCCCTGTGCTATGCGGCTGCTTCCCACCAGCTATCTATTTTACATTTGGTAGCGTATATAAGTCCATGCCACTCTCTCACTTCGTCCCAGCCCACCCTTCCCCCTCCCCATGTCCTCAAGTCCATTCTCTACGTCTGCGTCATTAGTCCTAGTCCTGTCCTGCCCATAGGTTCTTCAGAACTATGGGGTTTTTTTTTACATTCTATATATATGTGTTAGCATACGGTATTTGTTTTTCTCTTTTTGACTTACTTCACTCTGTACGACAGACTCTAAATCCATCCACCTCACTACAAATAACTCAGTTTCGTTTCTTTTTATGGCTGAGTAATATTCCATTGTATGTATGTGCCACATCTTCTTTATCCATTCATCTGTCGATGGACACTTAGGTTGCTTCCACGTCCTGGCTATTGTAAATAGTGCTGCAGTGAACATTGTGGTATATGACTCTTTTTGAATTATGGCTTTCTCAGGGTATATGCCCAGTAGTGGGATTGCTGGGTCATATGGTAATTCTACTTTTAGTTTTTAAAGGAACCTCCATACTGTTCTCCATAGTGGCTATATCAATTTACATTCCCACCAACAGTGCAAGAGGGTTCCCTTTTCTCCGCACCCTCTCCAGCATTTGTTGTTTGTAGATTTTCTGATGATGCCCATTCTGACCGGTATGAGGTGTTACCTCATTGTACTTTTGATTTGCATTTCTCTAATGATTAGTGATGTTGAGCAGCTTTTCATGTACTTCTTGGCCATCGGTATGTCTTCTTTGGAGAAATGTCTATTTAGGTCTTCTGCCCATTTTTTGATTGGGTTGTTTGTTTTTTCAATATTGAGCTGCATGAGCTGTTTATATATTTTGGAGATTAATCCTTTGTCTGTTGAGTCGTTTGCAAATATTTTCTCCCATTCTGAGGGTTGTCTTTTCATCTTGTTTATATTTTCCTTTGCTGTGCAAAAGCTTTAAAGATTCATTAGGTCCCATTTGTTTATTTTTATTTCCATTACTCTAGGAGGTGGATCAAAAAAGATCTTGCTGTGATTTATGTCAGAGTGTTCTTCCTATGTTTTCCTCTAAGAGTTTTATAGTGTCCAGTCTTACATTTAGGTCTCAAATCCATTTTGAGTTTACTTTTGTGTATGGTGTTAGAGAGTGTCCTAATTTCATTGTTATACGTGTAGGTGCCCGGTTTTCCCAGCACCACTTATTGAAGAGGCTGTCTTTTCTCCACTGTATATTCTTGCCTCCTTTACCAAAAATAAGGTGACCATAGGTGCATGGGTTTATCTCTGGGCTTTCTATCCTGTTCCACTGATCTATGTTTCTGTTTTTGTGCCAGTACCATACTGTCTTGATGACTGTAGCTTTGTAGTATAGTCCGAAGTCAGGGAGCCTGATTCCTCCAGCTCTGTTTTTCTTTCTCAAGATTGCTTTGGCTATTTAGGGTCTTTCGTGTTTCCATACAAATTATGAAATTTCTTGTTCTAGTTCTGTGGAAAATGCCATTGGTAGTTTGATAGGGATTGCACTGAATCTGTAGATTGCTTTGGGTAGTATAGTCATTTTCACAATGTTGAATCTTCCAATCCAAGAACATGGTATATCTCTCCATCTGTTTGTATCTTTAATTTCTTTCATCAGTGTCTTATAGTTTTCTGCATACAGGTAGGTCTTTTGTCTCCTCAGGTAGGTTTATTCCTAGGTATTTTACTCTTTTTGCTGCAATGGTAAATGGGAGTGTTTCCTTAATTTCTCTTTCAGATTTTCCATCATTAGTGTGTAGGAATGCAAGAGATTTCTGTGCATTAATTTTGTATCCTGCTACTCTACCAAATTCATTGATTAGCTCTAGCAGTTTTCTGGTGGCATCTTTAGGATTCTCTACATACAGCACCATGTCATCCGCAAACAGTGACAGCTTCACTTCTTCTTTTCCGATTTGGATTTATTTTATTTCTTTTTCTACTCTGATTGCTGTGGCTAAAACTTCCAATACTATGTTGAATAACAGTGGTGAGAGTGGACAACCTTGTCTTGCTCCTGACCTTAGAGGAAATGGTTTCAGTTTTTCACCACTGGGAACGAAGTTGGCTGTGGGTTTGTCATATATGGCCTTTATTATACTGAGGTAAGTTCCCTCTATGCCTACTTTCTGGAGGGTTTTATCATAAGTGGGTGTTGAATTTTGTCAAAAGATTTTTCTGCATCTATTGAGATGATCATATGGTTTTCATCCTTCAGTTTGTTAATATGGTGTATCACACTGATTGATTTGCCTATATTGAAGAATCCTTGCATTCCTGGGATAAACCCCACTTGATCATGGTGTATGATCCTTTTAATGTGCTGTTGGACTCTGTTTGCTAGTATTTTGTTGAGGATTTTTGCATCAATGTTCATCAGTGATACTGGCCTGTAGTTTTCTTTCTTTGTGACATCTTTGTCTGGTTTTGGTATCAGGGTGATGGTGGCCTCATAGAATGAGTTTGGGAGTGTTCCTCCCTCTGTTATATTTTGGAAGAGTTTGAGAAGGATAGGGGTTAGCTCTTCTCTAAATGTTTGATAGAATTCGCCTGTGAAGCCATCTGGTCCTGGGCTTTTGTTTGTTGGAAGATTTTTAATCACAGTTTCAATTTCAGTGTTTGTGACTGGTCTGTTCATATTTTCTATTTCTTCCTGATTCAGTCTCAGAAGGTTGTGCTTTTCCAAGAATTTGTCCATTTCTCCTTTTCTAAGAATTTGTCCCGGTTGTCCATTTTACTGGCATATAGTTGCCTGTAGTAATCTCTCATGATCCTTTGTATTTCTGCCGTGTCCATTGTTACTTCTCCTTTTTCATTTCTAATTCTGTTGATTTGAGTCTTCTCTCTTTTTGTCTTGATGAGTGTGGCTAATGGTTTATCAATTTCGTTAATCTTCTCAAAGAACCAGCTTTTAGTTTTATTGCTCTTTGCTATCATTTCCTTAATTATTTTTTCAGTTATTTCTGATCTGATCTTTATGATTTCTTTCCTTCTGCTAACTTTGGGGCTTTTTTGTTCTTCTTTCTCTAATTGTTTTAGGTGCGAGGTTAGGTTGTTTATTCGAGATGTTTCCTGTTTCTTAAGGTGGGATTGTATTGCTATAAAGTTCCCTCTTAGAACTGCTTTTGCTGCATCCCGTAGATTTTGGGTTGTCATGTTTTCATTGTCTTTTGTTTCTAGGCATTTTTTGATTTCCTCTTTGATTTCTTCAGTGATCTCTTGGTTATTAAGTAGTGTACTGTTTAGCTTCCATGTGTTTGTATTTTTTACAGATTTTTTCCTGTAATTGATATCTAGTCTCATAGCATTGTGGTAGGAAAAGATACTTGATATGATTTCAATTTTCTTAAATTTACCAAGGCTTGATTTGTGACACAAGATATGATCTATCCTGGAGAATGTTCCATGAGCACTGGAGAAGAAAGTGTATTCTGTTGTTTTTGGATGGAATGTCCTATAAATATCAATTAAGTCCATCTTGTTTAATGTATCATTTAACACTTGTGCTTCCTTATTTATTTTCATTTTGGATGATCTGTCCATTGGTGAAAGTGGGGTGTTAAAGTCCCCTACTATGATTGTGTTACTGTCAATTTCCCCTTTTATGGCTGTTAACATTTGCCTTATGTATTGAGGTGTTCCTCTGTTGGGTGCATAAATATTTACAATTGTTATCTCTTCTTCTTGGATTGATCCCTTGATCATTATGTAGTGTCCTTCTTTGTCTTTTGTAATAATCTTTATTTTAAAGTCTCCTTTGTCTGATATGCGATTGCTACTCCAGCTTTCTTTTGATTTCCATTTGCATGGAATATCTTTCTCCACCCCCTCACTTTCAGTCTGTATGTGTCCCTAGGTCTGAAGTGGGTCTCTTGTAGACAGCATATATATGGGTCTTGTTATTGTATCCATTCAGTCAGTCTGTCTTTTGGTTGGAGCATTTAATCCATTTACATTTAAGGTAATTATCGATATGTATGTTCCTATTACCATTTTCTTAACTGTTTTGGGTTTGTTACTGAAGGTCTTTTCCTTCTCTTGTGTTTCCTGCCTAGAGAAATTCCTTTAACATTTGTTGAAAAGCTGGTTTGGTGGTGCTGAATTCTCTTAGCTTTTGCTTGTCTGTAAAGGTTTTAATTTCTCCATCAGATCTGAATGAGATCCTTGCTGGGTGGAGTAATCTTGGTTGTAGGTTTTCCCCTTCACCTCTTTAAATATGTCTGGCCACTTCCTTCTGGCTTGCAGAGTTTCCGCTGAAAGATCAGCTGTTAACCTTATGGGGATTCCCCTGTGTGTTATTTGTTGCTTTTCCCTTGCTGCTTTTATATTTTTTCTTTGTATTTAATTTTTGATAGTTTGATTAGTATGTGCCTTGGCATGTTTCTCCTTGGATTTATCCTGTATGGGACTCTCTGCGCTTCCTGGACTTGATTATTTTCTTTCCCATATTAGGGGAAGTTTTCAAGTATAATTTCTTTGAATATTTTCTCAGTCCATTTCTTTCTCGTCTTCTTCTGAGACCGCTATAATTCGAATGTTGGTGTGTTTAATATTGTCTCAGAGGTCTCTAAGACTGTCCTCAATTCTTTTCATTCTTTTTTCTTTATTCTGCTCTGTGGTAGGTATTTCCACTATTTTATCTTCCAGGTCACTTCTCCGTTCTTCTGCCTCAGTTACTCTGCTATTGATTCCTTCTAGAGAACTTTTAATTTCATTTATTGTGTTGCTCATCATTGTTTGTTTGCTCTTTAGTTCTTCTAGGTCCTTGTTAACTGCTTCTTGCATCTTGTCCATTCTATTTCCAAGATTTTGGATCATCTTTACTATCATTACTCTGAATTCTTTTTCAGGTAGACTGCCTATCTCCTCTTCATTTGTCTGGTCTGGTGGGTTTTTACCTCGCTCCTTCATCTGCTGTGTATTTCTCTGTCTTCTCATTTTGCTTAAATTACTGTGTTTGGGGTCTCCTTTTTGCAGGCTGCAGGCTCATAGTTCCTGTTGTTTTTGGTGCCCCCAATGGCTAAATTTGGTTCAATGGGTTGTGTAGGCTTCGTGGTGGAGGGGACTGGTGCCTGTGCTCTGGTGGATGAGGCTGCATCTTGTCTTTCTGGTGGGCAGGACTGCATCCAGTGGTGTGTTTTGGGGTGTTTGTGACCTTTGTATGATTTTAGGCAGCCTCTCTACTAATGGGTGGGGTTGTGTTCCTGTCTTGCTAGTTGTTTGGCATAGGGTGTCCAGCACTGTAGATTGCTGGTTGTTGAGTGGAGCTGGGTCTTAGCGTTGAGATGGAGATCTCTGGGAGAGCTTTCGCCATTTGATATGATGTGGAGCCAGGAGGTCTCTGGTGGACCAATGTCCTGAACTCGGCTTTCCCACCTCAGAGGCACAGGCCTGACACCTGGCCAGAGCACCAAGACCCTGTCAGCCACACAGCGGCAGCTCTGTCCCTCGCTGCGCCTCCTGGGTCATGGCCTGCTGCTGCTGAGCCCGTCTCCTGCTTCTACCTGTGGTAACCCAACAGGAGCAAGGGCAAGCAGACGGTCTCGAGAGGGTCTGCTGCTGATCGGTGGCCAGCCTCGTTCTCGTCCCTCGCCCCGGCAGCAATCCAGCAGCTGCAGTCGGGTCTCCTTTCTAACAAATCCTAAAGGGGTACTCAGATGACACCTTGTAGAACTTTCTGGGGATCAGGGTCAAAGAGCCTGTCAACATAGTGGCGACTGCTAGCTGTTACTTCCGAAAGGACGCTCGTGCGGATTGGGGTCTCCGTCAGGCACGCGATCTTGGTGCTATGATTTTTACTGTCTCGTTCTACAGGCGAAGAAAACCAGGCTCAAGGGAGTTGAACTGTCTTGCTCACAGCTGCACAGTAAGGAAGTATCCGAGTTGGAATTTGAATCGAGGCCTGTGTGATTCCTAGCCTGAGAGCCTTCCCATAAAACCAGCTGCCTTTTCACACTTGTTTGTGTGGCTGATCTTTTGGAATTTTCTCAACTCCTTACAAAACATCATAAAATGCTGCCATAATTAATTTCATTCTAAGAATCTGGTATTTACAGTTAGTAGAAAAAAACGATACAGTGATTAGAATATATGTTAAGGTTTCCGCATTGTCAGCCAATAAAAGTCATATAGCCATATGTAGAACAGTTTCAAGAGAGTCACTTTTAGCAGGTTAAAAATAAAAATCATGGGGATTAAGTACCTAGCTACTTAACTACACTTACATGTTATATAAAGCACACAACACAGCACACATATCCAGGAAGCAAACAGGCCGCTTGTGTAAGCACGGTAAGCCACTTCCAAATTTTTCCTTCAACGAGGGCTTGACACAGAGTAAGAGCCTAATAAACAGTTGAGTGACCAAATGAGGGATGAATGGATGAAATAATTTAGACACGTGTTAAATCATCTTGTTTCATATAAACACTTCCCAGTGTAACAGCTGCCAGGAATTTGAGAAAAACTGAAAACATTTAAGGCATAAATGCTTAAGGAGAAAGAAAAGACCTTTTAAAAATGTGTCTTATAAAATAGAGAAAGATTTTATTGTTTCTGTCAATTACTGTCACTTCATTCTTATACCCCAGGGCCTCAGGGGAGCAAGGTTTGGGAACCACTATCCTAAACTCAGATTTAAGTGATGAGATAAAACCCAAAAGCCCTACAGAGAAAGACAAATATCATATGATATCATTTATTTGTGGAATCTAAGAAAATGATACAAATGGACTTATTTACAAAACAGAAATAGACTCACAAACATAGAAAACAAACTTATGGAGTGGGGTGGGAGGGGGGAGATAAATGAGGAGTTTGGGATTAACATATACACACTATATATAAAATAGGTAAACAACAGGGACCTACTGTATAGCACAGGGAACTAGAATCTGAAAAAGAATATATATGTGTGTGTGTGTGTATATATATATATATATATATATATATATATATATATATCTGAATCACTTTACTGTACACTTGAAACTAAAACAACTTTGCAAATTAACTATACCTCAAAGAAAAAGTACTGGTAGGGGAAACAAAAAGCCCTTGAATCTGGATGGATTTGATGTCTGCGAGCGGGGTAATTAACCCCCTCCCTAAATCCCAAATGCCTTTCCCAGTCTCCCGGGTATGCCCTTGCACACAGTGGCGCGGTAGGGCCAGAATAGTGGTTAAGTGCACCACAGTGACATAAGGGGCGGTTAAGCATGTAGCAGTTAAGTATGCAGCGGTCACATATACAGTGGTTCACTACACAGTGGTCAGATACGCGGAGGGGAAGTACGCAGCCATAAAGAATGCTGGCTCCAGAAACGGACACACTTGGATTTGAACTACTGCTCTATTACTTCCCAGCTGGGCGGCCTCTATGAGTATCATTTTCATCCTGTAAGATGGGTATAAAACATGAGACCTGTGTCCTAAGTTCGTTACAAGGAACGAGGGAGCTTACTTATGCGATGTGCCCTGGACCAGCACGGAGCAAGTTACAGTAAATGTAGTGTCTATTATTATAATTATTAGGATTTTGATTATCACTAGCAATAGGTTTATCATCAGTATTGTGGTTTTTACTCATGTCAGAGAGCAGGTCACAGATAGGGGAAGGGAGCAAGGGTCCTGGACACTCTACAATCGAATGGACGACACGGCATCATTTTTAGATTATCATGTCCAGAACCTTCTCTTCCGGCTCCATGAGACTCCAACTAACATCTTAAGGTCCTCTTATATTCCAGGCTCACTGTCAGGATCTCTACACACCTGATCTGATTTAATCTTCACTCAACTTTGAGAATTAGACCTCAATATCCCCATTTTATAGTTGTGAAAGCTGAGGCTCACACAAGAAAACAAACTTGCCCAAGGTCACTCAGTTAGTAAGTGATGGTGTGCAGGTTTGAACGCAAGTCCCTACAACACACTAAGTCCCCTTTGGCTGTTTAGGAGTCAATGTTTTGAAAGTGTGGAAATTCCCTTCCCCTCCCCTTTTCTCTCCATCTCCTTCAGCCTCTTATGGAAACAACTTTTTTTTTCTGTTTTCTGGGGAAAATCCTCCAGAACCGATGTTGAACCTCACTTCTTCAAGCTGATAGGACTTAACTGTTTCTCCCTCATTGAAATCACGGCCTAACTAACTAAAGGCTGTAGCCAGCCTGGGTAGAGGGCACCCTGGGTGGAGAAGCAGACTTCATCCATGAAAGCGGCTCTGGCTTCCTAAGCCACTGCCTCAGGATTCAGGCTCTTAACTGGAGACTCCTGTTCATAAGCCTCAGGGGTCTATGAGTCCTCTGAAATGGTACACAGAATTTGGGGAGTATTCTTGGCATTCATAGCTTCCATCTAATTCTCAGATGGGTTTTGATCTGATTTAAGGATCTCAAAGAGGAACTTGCAAAAGCGAGAGGGGAAGAATGGTCAGAGAGACAAACTTCATTTCTCCATCCTCAAGTTAGATTGAAGAGGGGAGCGGGGGCAGGGTCTCACCCGTGTGCTCTGGCAGGACTGGCCTCCTGGCAGGCTTTGCCTCTCTCCCAGCTGTTGGAGCCCAAGACCTCAGTGGCCAGAGGCTGGCTCAGCTTTTCCGAGGGTCCATCCTGATCTGGGACCATGGGGCTGCTCTGGGGTTCTGTCCTATAGGGGAGGAAATAAGGAGGCAAAAGTGTTAGGATATGACAGAGATTCTTAATGTTCATCAAACATTCATAGATGCCAGAATATTTCCAACCTCCCTCGGACTTAAGTTGGGGCCATATCATCATCAAGGGTCAATGGTCTCTGAATGGGAGTGATATGTATTGTTTCTAGTTTGAGGCAGTAAGATCTGTGTGTCATCTCCAGCTCTCTCTCCCTCTGTCACAGTGACTTTGGAGGCCACACATTCCAAAAGGTGAAGCTACTTGATGGAGGAGAGATGCCTGGACCACATCAGACTTTGCATGACAGAAATAAGCCTTAGTTAGGTTAAGCCACTGAGGTTTAGGGACTTACTTGTTACTGCAGCATAGCCTAGCCTAACCTGATTGAATCACAGGGAGAGGCTGGAAACCAGCATTTTACTTCCTTCCTCAAGACTTAATTGGAGGCCAAAGCAGTATAGGATTAGTTCAAACTCTCCTTTGCCATTTTCTATCCCACTTTTCTGCCTTATCTGTGTATGGCACAGAGACAGCTTCATTTAAACACTATCTTTACGGTGTAGTAACTCCAGGTCCTGGGGTCAGTCCCTCAACCTCTCTGAGCTGCAGTTTCCTCAACTATAAAATAGGGAATAATATCAGTCCATATATTGTTGAGTTGTTGTGAAGATAAAATGAGATAATATAAGCAAACAGGAAGGCCTAAGAAATATCACTGCCCTTTCCCTTTACTTCTCTGTGAACCAAACCTCCCATTAGGTGTCCTTAGCAGGTGTGAGCACACCTACTTGGGACAGCAGTTCCCATGAAGGCCTGAAGTTCTCTTCTCTGCCTCTGAGATGAGGTCCAAATAACACAGGGAAATTACCTGCGTCCCACCTCCTTCTCTGAGCCCCAGAGAGGGAAAGGAAGTTGCTTAGTTACTCAGTCTTTGAAGAAGCTGTCACTCAAGTCTCCTGGCTCCTGTCATTCAGTCAGGAGTCTGAGAACCACAGGTGGATCTGGCACCATCCAGCGAGCATCCCTGCCTGCAAATCCCAGGTCAAGCATTGATCAAAGGCATTAGCATTTCTCCTGCACCGAGCTCCTGCAGCCAGTGCATCAAGATTGGTTTTATGACTCAGGATGAATACATTTGATAAGCCCCCTGCTCCTTCGGGCTGCCAGGAGTGCAGACCAAGCCTGGTCAATATTGAAGGAAGGGCAGCAAAACACATCCTTCTCTGTCAGCCGCTGATCGGTGCATCTTTAGAAGCAGAGCTGGGGGATACTTCAAGCCCAGGAAGGATGGAGATTCTAGTCGGGTCTGCCCAGCCCTCCTTGCCAACTCCTCGGGCTGCCAGGAGTGCAGACCAAGCCTGGTCAATATTGAAGGAAGGGCAGCAAAACACATCCTTCTCTGTCAGCCGCTGATCGGTGCATCTTTAGAAGCAGAGCTGGGGGATACTTCAAGCCCAGGAAGGATGGAGATTCTAGTCGGGTCTGCCCAGCCCTCCTCACTGCCAACTCCATGCTACCAGAGCTCCAGTTTTCCCTACACCTCCCTGCACCCCTTCTCCCATGATGAGGGTTCCATTTCCATGCCTGCGTTCCCTCCAGTCTATCTGTGTGGAATGCCGCCCTGGCTCTTTTCAGATAACTCAAAGCTTGCAGTTTCTGCCCAGCCTCCAGCAAGGTTTGCCTCTTGCCACACTTGTCCTAGCCAAGGCTAACCCAACATTCACTAACGCCTATTCCCTGAGTGCCTGCAGTGTGTCCAGGGCAGTTCTAAGACCGGCGATGCAGTGAACAAGACACAGGCGTTCCCCGAGATCATGGAGTTTAGATTACAGATGGGAAAGCAGGTAATAAACACACAAGAAAGTAACAATATGGCTTATTTGTTGGTAATAACTTATGGAGAGAATAAATCAGTGGTATGGGGCTAGGAAATGGGAGCAGGTGACTGTTATTTCGTATACAGTAATCAGGGAAGGCCTTTTTTTAGGAAGTAACAAGAGAGTGGAGACTTGAAGGATCAGAGACTAACCCTGCAGTTTGTGTTGGTTTTAAAATGTGTTCACAAATTCTTTGACACTCATACCATCAAAAGCTGAATCCTAGAAGATGTGGTATATATACGATGGAATACTACTCAGCCATAAAGAAGAATGAAATAGTGCCATCTGCAGCAACATGGATGGACCTAGAGATTACCCTACTAAGTGAAGTAAGTCAGACAGAGAAAGAGAAATATCATACGATACCACTTATATGTGGAATCTTAAAAAACCGATACAAATAAACTTAGTTACAAAACAGAAATAGAAAACTCACAGACATAGAAGACTCACAGACTCACAGACATAGAAAACAAACTTACGGTTACCAAAGGGGAAAGCAGCGGGAGGGAAAAATTAGGAGTTTGGGAATAACAGATACACACTACTATATAGAAAACAGATAAACAGCAAGGACCTACTGTATGGCACAGTGAACTATACTCAATATTTTGTAATAACCTATTTGGGAAAATAATCTGAAAAAGAATATCTATATATGTGTGTGTGCGTGTGTGCGTGTGTGTGTGTGTGTGTGTACACATACACACACACACACACACACATATGATGGAATCACTTTGCTGTACACCTGAAACTAACACAATATTGTAAGTCAATTATACTTCAATAAAAAAAAATAAATTTTAAAAAGAGGAAAAGAAAAAAAGCTGGAGCCTAACTTCCCTCCCTGTGAATACTGGATGGGCTAGTGACTCACTTTTAATGAACAGACTGAATTAAAAGTGATGATATGCGACTTCCAAGACTAGGTCATGAAGGCAACTTCTGCCTCTTCCTCTTGGACTGATCACTTTGAGGGAAGCTGGTTGCCATGTTGTGAGGACACTCAAGCAGCCCTGTGGAGACGCCCATGTGACAGGACTGAGGCTTCCTGCCAACAGCCAGCACTATCAGCCATGTGACTGAGCCACCCTGGAAGTGGGTCCTCTGGCCACAGTCAAGCCTTCAGATAAGACAGCAGCCGTGGCTGACATCTGACCACCATCTCATGAGAGTGGTGAGTCAGTCACCCAGCCAAACTGTTGACTCACAGAAACTGCAAAACATAACTGTTTATTGTTTTAAGCCACAAAGATTTGGAGTATTTTGTTGCTCAGTAATATGCAACTTCTATACAGGTATCCACAATCAGTGGAAGTATGTTCTAGGCAGAAGGAATAGCAAGTTCAAAGACACCTGGCATATACAAGGAATAGCAAGCAGGGGTTAGAGTGATAAGAGGACAGATCAGAGATGAGGTCTTTGATGGGACCTAGGAATCTGTAGTCTTAAAAAGTTCCTTGGGGGCCTCTGATACTGTGCCAGGTTTAGCAAAGCCTGGACTACATAGTTCATGGAAGACCTTTGGGTCCCATGCGGCTGAGATGGGTGATGTGGTCTGGCTAACATTTCAGAAGGTTCTCTCCACGGCCTCTGGACACTCAAAGGAAGGGAAGAAAGAGATCGGGAGACTATTGCAATGACTTAGTGATCAGCGAGTTTATCAATGGATGCGTATTGCCCAGCAGAGTCTTGAGTTGGACATACACACAAGAATGGAATTTTGGACTTTCTGGAGCATTACAGGAAACCAAGACACAAATATGTGACTGAGGCAACCTTGCACTAGGCAGAAACTGAGTTGATGTGAGGAGTTTGGCAGTGAATAAATACATGACAAATAGTGCTGGCATTGGATGGAAGGTCTCAGTGACTTGTGCTAATAGAGGCGTGGGTTATCCCCAGTGCAGGGAAAGCTGGGGGATACCACTGCCAGGCACTGGCGGACAAGGCTTAAGGCAGGGACAATGCCTCACCCATCGCCGCCGCCAGCAGCAGGGTGGAGAATCAGGGATGGAAACCCTGACAATGGTTTGATGAGGAGAGAGGTGCATAATGGAGCTGCTGCAGCTTATAGCTTAGCTTGCCACTCCCTGATGTGGTAGTTCTTTTTTTTTCCAGTAGCACTGGCTTCCCCTTCCTGGTGTTGGGTACCTCACCTGGGACTATAACACAAACGAAAACAGAATTAATTCTACCAGGCTGACAGGGAGTGGTGAGGGAAAGATGAAAGGAATCCTTCCTAACGTAACATTTAAGATTGTTTAAATGTGTTCTAATACTTTGCTTCTTAGCTGTTTTAAAACTGAAAGAGACTCAGGGAGCATGTAGTCCAGGCTCTGCTAAACATGGCACAGTATCAGAGGCCCCTTAAGGAACTTAAAAAATTACAGATTCCTAGGTCCCATCATAGCCGTAATAAATCAGAGTCTCCAAGGATGAAACGTGGGAACCTGCAACTTTAAGAAACATCCCAGGTAATTCACCTTCTATTAGGTCAAGAATAAATCCAAACTGATTATTGGGATTAAAAGGCTCTGAATGATCTGGACTCTGTCCCTCTAGACCCCATCTCCTACCCCTCTCCCGGTCCCTTACTCTGCTTTGGCCACATGGCCTTCTTGCTGCTCCTCAGATGGAACAGGGCCCTTACTCAGAGCCTTTGCTTTTTCTGTTCCCTCCACCTGGTATGCTGTTCCTCCTCCAGCTATCTGCATGGCCGGCTCCTTCTTTTCACTCAAATGTCACCTCCTCAGAGAAGCCCTCCCTTATCCCCTTATGTAATCGTGCTCCTCTCATCACCGGCCACCGTCACAGTGGCCTGCTGTGCCTTCCCTCCTTCACAGTACTTGTTACTATTTGAAATGACCATTTTACATGTTTATTTGCTAACCGTTTGTCTTCTGGACTAGAATGTAAGCTTCCTGAGCGTGGGAACTAGTCTCTTCTCTCACCACCGAATCCCCAAGGATCTAGTGCCTGGCATAGCCAGCATGCCTTCTTGGTCAGGAAACATTTGTTGAATGAATGAATTTACAAATCGATTCTGATGACCAATCTCATGTGAGAACCACAGGTCAGATGCAACCTCTCCTCACATATAAAGAAGCAG